GAAATACTGTCGCTATCAGAATCTGTTGACAACCCCTGAAACGTGTCTCAGTAAGAACTTTTCACATGTGGTGGTGCTCACATCAAACCAAGAAATGTGAATTCCCATCCTATTTGATTCTCCATGCTCCAGTGATGTTGTGCTGCTTAGGAATTTGCACGCCTGCGCACGATCGTTTTTGGCACGCGCCGCGAGTCACGCCGCGTCACGCGGCGTTTGATTCAGCCAACCGAACTCCTAGTGTTTACTTGTTATATGGATACATTCAGAGTGCTGAGAGAATGTATGAATACTCCCCGTACTAGCCGAGAAATCAAATTTTCATGCATTTGTACAATGTAGCGTCCTGGGGCTCAACGTAAGCCGCTCACGCATGGTTCTTCCCAGTGACGACTGAGGATCATTTGAGGGCTCGGAGTCATTCATCAGGAAATGAAGTTGATAATATCTGACACAGATGTCATGTGAAATTCGTATTCCTACTATAAACCAATAAATTCGACCGGAAAGAATAATGGGCAATTCGTAGGCTCCCAAAGCACTAGCAATGAGTGCTGGGGCACGCAAACATAGCCTGATCGATTGTATTAGGGTGGCGACGACCTAAGCAGACACAGCTTTGTTGCAGATACGATCATGACTTTGGCGAAGAGGATGTCAAGAGACTTGCCATCTTTCACGACAACCTCAAGTTCATAGATGAAGTAAATTCAAGGAGTAAGATGTAATTATCTGCAGTACTGCCTGGTTATGGTTGTGTTTCTCAGACCTTTCATACAAGCTGGGTATCACTCCTCTCACTCATCTTACAAACGATGAATTCAGAGAGTTCGTCACAAGAGGATACTCCCTTGGTGACTGGCAGCAAACGATGTTGCGAGGAATCCGTAGGCGCTCGAAAGAGTACGAAATACCTGACGCAGCCACGTGTCAGACTCCGAGGCCCAAACATTCGGATTTGAGGGCTCGGTCGATGATGATCTGCCGATGAGGGTCGACTATGTCGAAAAAGGTTGGGTTACTGATGTGAAGTCCCAAGGAACTGTATGCGGCAGCTGCTGGGCTTTTGGCGTTGCTGGTGAGATCCTCATCGTTGCTACTCACGTAAAGGTGCCTTACTAGGTGCATTGGAAGGCCTCCACAAGAATGTTACTGGTCAGCTTGTCTCTCTCTCGGAGCAAGAACTTATCGACTGCAGTACAGCCTACGGCAATCAGTATTGCATTTCCTAGTTGGCATGACCATTGATTGTTGACAACAATTTGTTGTCAGAGGATGCAATGGTACACGTCATTTGAACGATTTCTACGAGTATGTTGCGGATCATGGTTTGGAAACTGAAAGAGCTTATAAATATGTAGGAAAAGATGGTCAGTGTCGTCGCAATGTTAGTAAAGACGCCGTTAAGGTGAGTTTAAGGCCGTAGGAAACAGCAGATCCTAATCAACTACTTCCAGGCTAGAACCATAAGTCATGTAAATGTGAAAAGCAATTCCTCATCTTCGATGCTCGCAGCCGTTGCCTTTGGTGGGCCTGTCAGTACACTCATCTGTGGGATGTCTGGGGTCTTCCAAAACTATAAGAGTGGTATCATCAAGGGAGGTATGACCCGTCATCAAAGTAGCTGCTTGAGCGCGACGACATCTTTTTAGATGTATGTGGCA